CCGAGTCCCGCGGAGCCCCGCGCGGCGTTAGCGGCCGTCCGCTCGCCGCGGGCCGTCGCGCGGCCCTTCCGCTCCCAAAGTTTGCAAAGTCTGGCGGCTCGCGCCGCTGGGGCGGCGGCGGCGGTGGGCACGGCTGCAGCGGGCGGGGGCGGTGGCGGAGGAGGCGGGGGCGGAGGGGGCGGGGTGCGGGCCGGCGGCGGCAGCAGCATCAAAGAGCCCCGATTCCTGTCGCCCTGGGAGCCATGCGCCGCTGTCTGTAATGTCAGCGGAACAGGAGAAGGACCCCATCGCGCTGAAGAGATCCCGAGGTACTGCGGGGGGAGGGAGGGGGGGTCGCAGGCCGGGCCGGGGACGGCCGGCGGGGCCTAACTCCCGCCGGGGGAGCCCTGAGGGAGCCCGCGGGGATGCCGGCCCCGAGCCGCCGCGCGCCGGGCCCCGAGCCGCCGGCCCTCCGGCCCGGGTCGCTCCCCGCGGCGGAGCGGGGCCGCGCTAAGTTTGCTCGGTGCGTTCCGGCCCGGCCCCGCGGGTTCCCGCAGCCTCCGGGCCTGGAAACGCCGAAGTCGGGATGGCGGTGCGCTGCCGGGCGCCGCGCTGCGCTCTGATCGCTGTTGTGTTTTGCTGCCTGTGCCGCCCATTAGTATGCGGCGTGCGTAGCCTTGGTGCAAGGGAATACGTCGGCGGTGCCACATGTCCGAGTTGGGGGTCGATGCGGAGCCTCTAAATCGCACGGAGTGCTTCTCTGCCCCGCGTTTGATTTCGCTCGGGGTTTTGTTTCCTCTCGCTGGGAGTTGAAACGTTTCTCCGCGGTTTTTGTCTTTCATCAGCAGTCCCAGTGCGTGGCTCTGAGGTCTGAACGGACACTGCTTTGAAATGTGCGCTGTCTGCTCTGCCTCGGGCTGCGCAGCTAGGGTCACCAGCCATCGGTTTGTGGGGTGGTTACTGTGTCCACGCTGTTCTTAAAAGCAGAAATGCATTTCTGACCAAAATAATAAGTAGGGTGTTGGAGTTGGGTGGAAATTATGTCGTAATGATAAGAGCTGAAGTTTATTGCTTCTCTTTCCCTCTCCTCCTGCTGCGCTCCTGGGATCCCATTGTTCTTAATGTTTTGAGCTTCTTGTGGGTGCCTGAGTGGCAAAAGGTGGGGATCCTGTTATCCGAATTGTCATGGATTTATAGTTCACTTCTCTAAAACAGCTGGATCACAACCTCGAGAGTGAGAGAACGGAAACGTGCGTCTGCCTTACAAAGGGGACTGGGATTCATTAGGCTCTGCTCTGAGCTCTGATTCTGCACATACGTAGGCATTTCACACACTGGAGGTACCCACCGAGTTCTGTATGATTATTGCTTCAACTCAGGCCTTGTGGGATCAGGCCCACAGTGCAGCCTCACTGGGTCTGGTTGAAGACTGGCTCTCCAGTTTTCTGTCCGTAATAAAAAGTATGTTTGGCCATTTGTAACTGCTGGGAGATGTTGTTAGAGCACTGTGAAAAAGACTGTGGCTCCCGTGCTGTAAAATCCCAGACAGAGGTTTGTCAGTGAATGGGAAAACGCTCTGTGGAGTATTTGCAGTGCGTTAAGTACAGCATAAATTATACACAAAATCATAATATCTGACTGTGTAGACAACTGAAAGTTTCAGTTCTCTGCGCTTGTTTGGAGGTGTCTGTGTGTGAAGTCAGAGAGGATGTGGGATTCGCTCCCTCTGTGCTGTCAAAGTGTAAATGGCCAAAATGCAATTCAGTCATAATACATAATAGGGGAATAGATATCAGATATGCCTTTATATCTCTAAGTCCATCTAAGTATATGATGTTCCAGTCAAACAGATTGGTTTTTTTTTCCTGCAAAATTAGTCACAAATGAAGTGATTTTTTATTTTTTTTAGACCCTTTGTGCAAATATCACAACATTCCAAAATGCTCAGTACGCAACTTAAAGACGAGTCTATGTGGCAGGTACCAGGAGTGACTTTCCCAAAAGTTTATTTTGGCTGCATGAAAATAACTCTCATTCACTCTTCTTGTGGAGGTATGCTCAGACTAACATTCAGCTTCCTTTCATGTATAAATTAAATCATTATAAAATCCACAGGGAAAACATCAATTCATAGGGCTAAATTAAATCACTGGCCTCACACAGTGAGAACTGCAAATACAAAAGCTTTGTATGTTCCAGATGTAGGACTCAGTTCTGCAAGCCCTTGCAGATGACTGATTTTCCCCATGTGAGTAATCCATGCAGTAATTGGTGGCTCTTATTATAGAATCCAGAGATTTACATGGCTAACATTTTTGAAGAATGAGATCTGAGAGGGGAAGCTTGTACATAATTTTACAAAGTTGTAACTTCTCTGATGTAAGTCGGCACTTTCCTGTGGTTCACAGTATTCCGTTTGTAGATGTAGTAATTTCTGTGCTGCTAGTTGTTGAATGAAAAGAAATCAGAATATTTGTAACGTGTTGCCATCAGCAAACACTGTGTATTAAGAATATAGGACCATATGGAGAAACGTATTTTTGCAGTTGTGAGCAAGGGTGCTCGCAGTACAGTTTCTCATAAAGGAGTTCTGGAGGAAAAGAAGCTGATGGGAAGTGCAGGGAGAGCTTTGAGCAAATACCTTGTTGAGAAGGTGATGTATAGGGTTGGTGTTTAAGGGGTGTTTGGCACCTTTATGTAAAACTATATAGGGATCATTCTGCATCTACAAGTAATGTAGCTGTGTGCTGTGCTAAGTGCATGCAGTGTTGTGTATTCTAAATCAAGGCTTAATGGTGTTTTTTTTCCTCTTCAGCTTAATCCCATGCTGCTCTGATGGTAGGTTGTACCGGGATGCACTGTGCTCAAGCATGAGTTTATTTTGGGAGCTGGATCATGACTTCATGCTGTAGTCTCTGAAATTCAGACTCAAAATTTGCCAGTAATGATAGGTGTTGATTTGAGAGGTCCAATTACATATATCTTATGAGTAATGAAATGTTTTGGGAATTACATATACATAAAACAGAGATGAAGTCTCTACAGCGACAGGCAAAGCCAAAAGGAACTTATTAAAGCTCAAGTCAAATGGGATTTTTATTTGAAGTAGGACTGGTAATTTCCCTGAAACCTGTTAAGGCAAAAAAGTGTGTGATGAGGGGAGGGAGCAAAGGCTGAGTGTAAGGAAAAAAAGGGAATTGCTGGGAGTGAGAGCTCCTTGTGGTGCATGGCTGTTGGCCTCCTTTGATCAGGAATATTTGAAGTAACTGTTGCATGTTTTAGATTGCGTATAGTAGTTCTAATTCTTCATGACGTGGGAGATTTTGTTATGCTCTTAAACAGTCCTAAAGCTGGTTTAGCTGTCTTCTGGGAGTACTGGTGTAATGTAGAGCTGGTGTGATGTCACACACGATGCTGCTCTGCATAATACTGCTGATAATTCTGTTATTTTCAGGTTGTCTTCAGTGATACAGCTGAACACACGGGTTTCTCTTTGTGCTTACATTTGGATGAAGTTTGGCTTGTATTCAGAATTTGAGTTTTGAATAAATAACAGTAATTTTTTCAGCCTATGTTGCCCACTCCTTATGGTTTCATACTGTTATTATTTTTCTAAAATAAACAAATGATTACCTTAGTGGGCCTGGGAAAAAAAATAACATATAGTTTCTTAATGTACTGATGTTAAAATCTTAGGCTGGAGTGTTGTCATGTAACCTGGAAGTGAATTCCGTGCTTTGGCTCACGGTTGCTTTTGCATTCCCAAATGGAGGTAAATTTTTTCAAATCCTGAAGACAAAACTAATGGGATAGTAAGGAATGTGCTAGAACCTAAGCTCTAAATTGAGTTTTTAAAAACAAAAACCATAATTTGTACAACTTTGAGAGCTTGTTGCATTCATAAGGTTGGGGCAAGTGCTGAGTGAAGTGCAGATATGTTTGTATAGATCAGTAAAATGAACAGTCTTTGCTTAGTATGTATTTATTTTGCCAGAGCAGCTGTGCTCTATTACATAATGAGATTTCAATGGAGTAAAGTCAGACTCGCCTACAGCCTCTCTCATTTTTGGCAGGTGTCGTTATATTTAATCAAGTCTTGCATTCAGAGAAAATTAGATCTGATAAAATGGAGATCTGACCAAACAACATAGCAGGTTTCCAATGGATATTCATAGATGTGCTACCCTTTTTTTTTTTTTTTTCCTCCTTCATGGCATATTGTAATGAGCTGTCGTGTGTCATACGGTGAGTTGGTAAGTGCCATGTCCATCTAAGTTAAATAGGGGGTGAATCTTAGGCATGGTTTTAAGCAGTTGTTCTAAAAGTTTTATGCCTTATGCAAGTAAGAAGTACTTCAATTGAAGTAGAGATGTTAAAACCTAGGGAGTGTTAGGCATGAAATGAAAGCTTGATTCAAACTGTAGTGAGCATGAATCAGGCATTAGATGGTAATAGAGCTGGATAGCTGAATGTGGGAACTTTTACCTCTGTGTATTCACTTCTTGAGGATTTGCGTTAGTTCTGGTGCCGTGCATTGTAAGTTCAATATGTGTGACAAACAGGGACATACTTAAAATACAGTCTGAAAGTAAGCTAATGCAGAATTGCACTGCTTGAAATTTTGTAGGTGGTGACGGTGGATTGGATGGGTTAGGAGGACCAGGAGTACAGCTCGGAAGCCCTGATAAGAAAAAGCGCAAAGCAAACACACAGGTAAATTCCCTTTGATTCTTAATAAGTAGTATACTCACATGTTGTTTGCTGAAATGATTGTCTTACCCTATTCAGAATACTGCTCTATTCTCACAAACTGCTTTTACACTGAAAATATTGTAGTTGTATTGTGAAGCTGAAATTTTAACTCTTCATTAAACTTTATCATGCTAGTTATCCTCACTAAAACTATTCTAGGTCTTTGTAGGTTGCCAAAGCCCTGTAAGGGGAGAAGTACGTAAGACTGCAAGACTTGCATTTTACCATATGGATTTGATTCTGAGATGGCCTTTTTTTTTTAGTGACTGTGTAGCCCTTGGTAGCAATCTGTACAACATGAGTAATTGCAGTGAGACTGCTTTTTGTAGATTTGTGGGCTAGTGGATCAGTGCAGTTTGTTAATGCTTTGACCAAACTCCTGGAGTGTTCCCTAAGTGGTTTTTCAAGCAAAAACTGTGAGGCAGGTTCAGCTCCTTTCCAGTGAATCCTTGCAAACTGGCATTTCTGTGCATTTTCTGTTTCTGAAAAAGGAAACCAGAATACAAAACATCTAAAGTAATTGGATATCTGTAGAGCTGAACGTTCCTTTGTGTATTTACTCACTATGGAGTGAGAGTATCTGTTAATTTTTTACTGCCCGGAGGGAGTAAATGTATTTACGTAGGTCAGATGATCACTTTCTTTTAGGCTTATCCAGTATTAATTGATTCCAATCCATGGGGATTTGTCTTCTCATTTTTTGTTTCCTTTCAAAGTAGTCGTGTTGAAACCTGCTCTAAGAAATAACCAGTTAATTGCAGAGCTTCACATCTCTCTACTGGAGGAGCTTGTTGCTCAGAAGTGGTGATAATGTAGAGGGCAGGTGAATTAGTTTCCTCTCTTTTCTTACCATGTTTGGAATGTGCAGGACAGGACAGCGGAAATTTGGGAAAAAAAAGTGTTCAGCCTTAGTTTATTAATATGAAGCCATCCTTTCTGTGAGGAGTTCAGGTGAAGGTGCAGTAGCTTGATGTTCCCCACAGGCTAGTCTACAATGTGGTTCATTTGTATGGCCGCTCTGAGGACATTCTGGGCTCTGGGCTCCACTGAAGACTTGATTACACTTTCTAACCAGAAATCCTTGTATTTTAATCCTACTGGCAATACTTAACAGATTGCCCACTGAATGTTCTTAAGGGACACCTGTTTGGTACACAGAATATGGAAAATTCCTGTGCACAGACTCCTGTGTTACCCATACTTTTCCTCAGGCTTCTAGTAACATTGCTTTTTTAGGTTTATATATTCTCATGGAAGCGGAGTGCCTTGAGAGATGTATTTCCAGTAAACTGAACTCCAAATGACAGTAAGGAAATACTCCAGATCTGCTCTTCAGCATTTCAGAAATGTTATGTGTGTGTTTAAAGGACACATAGCTTTTTGTGTTGCTGCATTTCTTAAGTAAAAAATGGAGGGAGAAAAAAGCTTTAAGTGTCTTCAGAAGCATGGTTGTGCAACTGAGATGGCTATAAATCACTGCTACCTGGAGCTCAAACTCCTCTCTTCCCTTCACTGAAGGTAGCTTGGTGGGTTTTGGTGAGAGAGCTTTACACAACTGAACTGTGATTTTATTTATTTATTCATTTTAGTAGTAGTGCTGCTAATCCAGGACCTTGTGGCTAGTCTTTCTTGTAGAGACATGGTAAAACTAATAAAAATGTTGTATTTAAAATGTTTTTAGGGATCTTCATTTCCTCCTCCATCTGAATATGCTCCACCGCCGAATCCAAGCTCTGACCACCTTGTAGCTGCAAATCCATTTGATGACAACTATAATACTGTGTCTTATAAACCACTTCCTTCAGGAAATCCTTATTTTGGTAATCCTGGTTATCCCGGCTTTGGAGGCTATAACACTTTCAGAATGCCACCTCACATGCTGCACAGAGTGTCCGCGCCATATGGTGGTTCCTATTCCCTCAGAAACCAGCCACACCCTCTTCCTCAAAACCCTGTAGGAATGGGTTTTAGTCGACCCCACTCTTTCAGCTTTGGTCCACATGATAGCCCAGGTTTTGCGAATCAGCCACCTTATAGTGGCAGTCAGATAAATCAGAGTGTCAGTATGCCTGGTCAGCATTTCAGACCAAATCCTGGTGAGAACTTTGGCCATTCTGGACAGATACCTCATCCTGATGTGCCACCTAACTTTGGTCCTGGAAACAATTCAAATTTTCCAAATTCTCAGCTAGAGTCAAGCCACTCTTTTGTTCCCCCACCAAGCACTTACAACCAGACAAAATCATCAGCACAAAAGCAAGACTTTAGTCTAGGTGCAAGCAAAGCATCCAGCCAGAACACTACTGCTCTTCAGCATCATCACAGGACAGAGGACATTGTGAGTCAAGGTAACAGTGACCTAAAAATTGTTACTCGAAACAACGTGGTAAATCAGGATGGTAGCCATTCTAATAGTGCTGATAACACTAATGCTGGCCATTCAAATGGGACTCAGAGTAAGTCCCGCCAGCCTCGAGGTACCACTGAAGGATGCAACTCTGAAAAGAGCAGCAAAACACCCCTTCATCCCAGTCGGCATGGTCACTCGTCCTCTGAACCCGTCTATCCGTGTGGAATTTGTACACATGAAGTTAATGATGACCAGGATGCGATCCTGTGTGAAGCCTCTTGTCAGAAATGGTTTCATCGAATCTGTACTGGCATGACTGAGTCAGCTTATGGCCTTCTTACAGCAGAAGCATCAGCAGTGTGGGGTTGTGATACGTGTATGGCTGATAAAGATGTCCAGCTAATGCGTACAAGAGAGACTGCAGGGCCGCCTGCGCTGAATACGGATGGCTAACAATGTCAATTGGTGGTACTGCTTACTATGAAGATTTGGTTGTGAATACTTTCTGTTCTGAAGACAATCGATTTGTTTGATTGCTGTCATGTTATTTTCCACTATCTGTTTTTGTTCATGAAGTTCCATCTCAACTTTTGTACTCTTAACTTTGTGTGTGCAAATATTTTACAGGGTGGAATTCTTTTTTTTGTTTCTGACAACCAATTAGAAATAGGATGTGCATTGACAGTTTTATTGAAGGCAAAAATAGGCCTTTATGAATAGTCCCTGATTTGCTAGTACTGATGTGTTAACTAACACTAGCTTTTACTATTCAATTTTAATGGTACTGTACTTGCAAGTACTCAATGCTTTTTTTTTTTCTTTCTTCTATTGTTGAATGTCCGTTACTGACGTTCTTGACATCTTTTCCTTGAATATCATGGAGATGACGTGGAGGAAGTGTGGAGTACTAATAGTTTGTATTTTTTTAGAATAAATAAGAGGATTTTGTATGTGCTTTTTCTCATTTTTGAACTAAAGCATTAACGCAATTCTAAAATCAGTGCTTTCACTCTTAGTAACACAGTGAAACCCACTAAATCTTATACCTTGGTATTTCCTTGAAAAGGCAATGATCCTTTGATTTCTCAGCAAGCACTTAATTGCTGAGGACTCTTACTAGGTCATGCAGTATAGAAAATGGTTACAAAATATGATTACATTGGAAAAAGCTAGGACAGATCAAGTTGATGAAGTCTAGTGCTTTAAATCTAGAGAATACCAAAACTGAGGTTACATGTGTAGCCTTTCTTCATTCATCTTAAGCATGTATGTTAGGATGCAGCCCCTGTTCAGTCACATACCTCTTGCTCATCCTCCATTGGTGGCTCTGTCTTCCACCCTCAACTGTGAACGGATTTAAGCAGGGAAGGTTCTGCCCATCTCTTAGAGCTGTCAGCTGGAGCCTGCTCGTTCATCCTGAGCTTACACTATCTGCTTGGCAAGAACGGTGTGAGGCAACAGAATGTGTATAGCACAGACTCTGAACTGCAAGATAATTTGACCAGCAAAGTAGTAACACTGAATTCCCACCACTGCCTCAGCCAGTCTTGTAGTTGGAGGGAGAAGGAAATGTAGAGTGAAGACAAAGAAAGCTCTCAGATCTGAGAGTTTAGCTCATACCAGGAGCCAGCAAGCAGAAATCGAGCAAACTTGAGATCTTGCAGACAAGTATGAAAGGCACTAGAACTTTAGTGTACGACTCTTAAGAATTATCCTTTATTATAGACAGTTTGACCTTATTCTTATCTCAAGCATACACCTCTCCCCCATTCTCCTTTTTTTTTTTTTTTTTTTTTTGTGGGGGAGCATCTAGCCTTGATCGCTTTGGCCTTAGTTGCATATGCAATTGAAAATCAGTGTTTCTGTAGAGAAAAGTGTTGTTTTAACTTAATGAAAGATGGTACTGTAGTAATAGGTGGCTTGTAGTGCTCACCATAGTTCTGGAAACATGATTACCGATTGCTAAAAAAACTAAATGGTATGTCAAACATTGCAGGTACTGGTCAGGTTTCTTAGTGTGATAGAAGGTGTTCAGATCTGTGGTGATGAGTGATACAGAGGCCTATATTGAATACAGACATATATATTTAAAGGCTATTTTTATGGTAAGCTTTGTTAATGAGTGAAAAGTAAGGCTTATCTGCTAATTCACCATTGTGTTTGATTTTAAATGAGCTCTAATGTTATACTGTCCTGAGAGATACTCTGCAGATGTAGATAACTGTCTTTCTTTTATTTTAATACTGAAGAGTTTTATATACCCTTTCATTGGAGAAGTATAGTATTGCCCTTCCCTTTTATAGCACCTCTCATCAGGAAAAAGGAGATAATATCTCAAGTGTAAATTACATAGTCCTTATCTTAAGGACTTCCTTTATCGAGATGTAAAGAAAGCATAAGGCAGATCCAGGGCTTCTGTTTTCAGTGCTACTTGCTTTATTTCTGACAGAGACTGAGCTTAGTCTTGTTTTCTTAGGGGTGTGATATTTAAAAAAATGAACTGCAGACCAACACAAAAACACAAATAGCTGAACAGACAAACATTGTTGATTTGTTCCTCTGGGAAACAGTTCCATTTCTATAGGAATTTACATTGTGAAGTTTGTAGTTCAGACTTAGAGCAATGTAAATGAAATAAAAATTTTGCTTAGTGACAGAAAGTTAAACAGCAGCTCCTTTGCTTATATTGTTATCTAAGCTGGTAGTCTGCAATAACATTTCCACATCCCATTTCAGTTAATGTTTCAGTGTTTTGGAGCAGATGCTATTTAAAATAGCTGTGTATTTCTTGAAATCTCTCAATCCTATTTCAAGTTAGGTGTTTTCTATGTTAGTTACCAAGATATTAGAATTTAAATAGTGTTCTTTTGAACTTCTTCTGGAATATAACGTTGAAAGGCCTTAAATCACGTATTTGTGAAACTTAGTCTAAAAAATGTCACTTATTTTCTAAACTGGGTACCATGTTGGGTTTGTATCCCACTGAATTTACTGTGCGTATTAACCTGCAAATTCAAAGCATTAGCAAATGCCAGTTTAAAAACATTAAATAACAAGCAACAAAATCAAACTTGCTGTCATCCTGATCACAGAGGTAGGACAGATTAGGATCTCAAGAACTCATCTGGCCTATATGTTTATCCTACTGGTATGCTCTTGGCATCCCTGGACTTTTTGCCTAGAGATAGGATTATACTTTGTTTTTCTCTGCATGTATTGACTAGTAGTAGTTCAAGTATGCACAGGAAAAACAGCATTTGTGTTTTGTTAGTAAGTACTAGAAAAACGTCAGCTGGTTAGAATTAGAAATTAGTTATAGGAGGGTGGGTGGGAGGGAGGGCTGGTTAGAATAGGTGAAGTTTTTTGTAATACTCTACATGAAACAGTTTGTATTGAACTACCATGTGATTCCTTCGTTATTAGTGATTTAGACTGTATTGTTGTTGCATACCAAAGTATTGCAAAGATTTTGTAGGTCTTTATGTTTTTGTGGGAAATGCCTGCGTCCTTTTTAAGTAGAATCATAGAATAATCACAGAATGGCTTAAGTTGGAGAGGTCTTTAAAGATCATTTAGTTCCAACCCTGCCATGGGCAGGGTTGTCCTCACCAGATCAGGCTGCCCAGGGCCCCATCCAACCTGGCCTTGAATGTACCTAGAGATGGAACATTCCCAACCTCTTTGGGCAGCCTATTCCAGAACCTCACCATTCTGAGGAAAGAATTTCTTCCTAACATCTAACCTACACCTTCTCTCTTTTAGTTCAAAGCCATTCCCCCTTGTCCTATCACTATCAGACCATGTAAAAAGTCGCACCCCTTCCTGCTTGTAAATTCCCGTGAAATACTGGAAGGCCCCAGTGAGATCTATCCAGAGCTTTCCTTCAAGCTAAACGAACCCAACTCTCAGCCTTTCTGCATGGGAGAGGCATTCAGGCCTGATCATCTTCATGGCCTGCCTCTGGACTCACTTCAGCAGCTCCGCATCCCTCCTGCACTGGGGGCCCCAGGCCTGGGTGCTGTAATCCAGATGCAGCCTCATGAGGGCAAAGCCGTGGGGAACTATCCCCTTTTTCCCCCAGTTGGCCACCCCTCTTTTGACACAGCCCAGGATACTGTTGGCTTTCTGGGCTGCAAGGGCACGCTGCTGGCTAGCTTCTTGTCATGCTCAGAAATGCAGCTCGTACTGCTGAAAATGTTTTTTCTTTCCCTAGGCTGAAATAAATAGGTGTGAATTGGATTGATACTTAGTTTTGGCCAGAGACCAGTTTTAAATGAGAAAATGCACAATTTGCTTTTTGAAATGCTTTATTGGTGTCAGGGTCGGTGACAGTGCTGCGTATAGGCTGGAGAGTAGGTAACAAGTCCTGCTTCTGGCTGGTTTATTGATCGCTTCTACAGCGTGTAACAAGCAGGTTGGCTGTGCCTCAATCTCTTCTTTCAGAAGGCTGAACTAATGATTATTTCCTTGGTGTGTTCAGAGGCCCAGTTATTATTTTGATATCTTCAGATGAAAGAGACAAAAGAAAAGCAATAAAGTTTTTGTTTCCTCTGTTTAAAATAAAAAATGTAATTCTGGGGGCTGCTAGAAATGAATTTATTTTGTGACCTCTAAATTTTTTGGGGGGTCTTTATAACTAATTCTTAAAGTACAATTTTCAGGCTTAACTTCAAGAGTGCAATGAAATCAATGGAACTGCAAGCACGAAGTCAGGAATGCTTCAAAGTGTTTGCAGTTCTCAGCCCCTGATATTTATAGGTGAAATGCTTTCTGTGGTTTGAGAGTTTTACAAAATCGAAGGTGTTCAAATGTAGCACCTCCTTAACATTTGTCTTGATTCCAACTTAATACAATAACACATCTGCATTAAATATCTTCCTTTTGTTTTAGATATAAACATCGCCTGCCAGTAAAACTATTGATGTAACATTTTCAAAAGAGGAAGCCGTGCTTCTTATCATGTTGTATGTGACTTAAATGACTGTTTCATATTAAAACTAATCTTTCCTTATGTACTGCTTAAATATACCTGTTTGGGGAATATCAGTTCAGTACTTTTATACAATTTTGAATGTGTTCCACATTGGTGACATGTATTTTTGCAATAATTTTTTTTGTTTCAATTTTAAATTAGAGCATGTCTGAAGTAATACATGCATAGTGCTGTGGTGTGTGGCAAAGTTAATGTATGTAATTCAAATTGGAAAAAAAGTTTCCAGACTTTGTCCAACATTTACCCTGTGGCTGGGGATTAAATTACTATGTAATACAAATTATTTCATATCATGATGTGTTTTGAGCTACTCTGTGAAGTATGTGAAACATTATTGTTTATGGGTTGGTAGCTGGCCTGGTGTCTTGCATTGAATGAGGTATGATAGGTGGTAGCAACTTGTGATAATTAAAACTGACTACATTTCAGAACATAATTTCAGCATTCTGTACGTTATCATCCTGTTGCCATAACTGTTAGTATGAAGTCCATAATATTACCCACTGACAAATGGATGAACATTTGGTAGTGAGCTCATGGGTGTGAAAATTCTGTTCCAACACTTTACTTGGTTTATAAAACATGCAATTTTAATATATTTTTTAATCTATTGGATATGGTTAGATATATGCAGGGAGATGTAGAACTGGATGTACTTTGAAGTTATCCTGCAATTACTACGTTTTGTCTGGAGCTTTCTGGAGTATTAGGACAGACCCCTCCTTAAAATTGGGAAATAAAGTGTACTTAGCAGAACCTTTAAGGCAATATAACAGTCCTACATTACATCTTTTGTTATGCACGTTCACTCTGGATGAACTGCCTCCAATTCCTTGTTGCTTTATATAGGTACAAAGGGCTCTCAAGTGCTTTAGTGTTGTGTGTCATCACTTCTGAGGTAATTAATGCTGAATGGTGTTCAGCCCCTTAGAGGTACTTCCTGTAGCTTAAAGTACTCAGTGTCTCAGTTACCTGTTTCAGACATGGCTTATGATCGTAGGGAACGCCTGTGTTTGTGTTGTTTACTGTACACGAGGAGTTGTTCCTTTTCACGTTCAAACAACTGTCAGTCTCAGAATAATTTTGATCCAGCCCCACCTTTTTCCTCAGAGCTTTGTGCACTGTATTTCAGGAATTGCTGTTCTGGAGACGGTTCAGGGCTGGAGTCATAAGAGGCATTGCCTCTTTCTAGAGACTTCTGTCACCTGTGAAGGATAGTCTAAATCTGAACTTCCATTTAACTTAAGGAAGGTGAGCTTTTAATATATTTAGGGTTTGTTTCTTTGTTTTTGCCTTTTAGTCTGTTTGTTTGTTTTTCCTGAAATGCGAAATAATACGTAGTTGCTGAGGAATTCTTACTTGAAGGACATTCTCTCCCTCAGGCTTTTATATACGGCCCTTAGAGCAGACACTGTTGCTTAGGGCCTTCTGACTTGGAATTTTTTGTGTCTCCCTTCTCCTTTTAGTGTTAAAGATGAGTTGAAAAAGGCAAGTTACTCATCTGCAGCCACCTGAGCCGTGCAAAACATGAACTGATTGTTGACTTTTTTTTTCTGTTAATAAAGATGTAATAATTGACCCTTCAGAAGATTAGAATCTGAACCAAATGTTCTTGGAAAATGTATGTGATAGATTTTGTCCATCACTGTATGCAACTTTGTTGCTTTCTGTTGTCTGGTTTCTTTTAAAATAAAGGTGGTGGGTTTTTTCTTTTTTTTTCAGGGAAATTGTCTGTTGATTTTATGAAGATGAAGTAATGCATAAATGAACTCTTTGAATATTTTGCCTGTGAGAATGCATTTGGATTGGGCATAACCCTGCAAAAAACTGTATAAATTTGGAAGAGGCAGCTCCTGTCTCTGTTGGAGAGATCTGCTGTTCTGTAGAGGCATTAATCTGAACTAAATTCAAAGCAGATTAGAAGAGGTCTTGTACCATAAGTCCCTTTTACTTATTAAAGGATGGGAAGAAATGCTAAGGCACCATTTGGCTGAATGAAATTGCAGAGCTTTTTGATTTTGGAAAGAGATTATGCAAATAATTATTTATTCTAATTAATAAAGTTCCTACTGAGCTATTACTATATTTTTTTCCTGAAGTGCCATTGCTGACATGTAGGAAATTAAACCTTACGGTGATCTTTAAAAGCAGTGGTATGCGTGGTCCCAAACCACACACTGAAAACACTTCATGGAATAAAAAGCATCTTGTAAGATGTTCCTGCTCTTTAAAAATGTGAAGGGATGAGAGAAATGGGAGAGAACTTAGAAGAGGTGTGTGTGGTGGAGAAATTATTTATTAAATTAAAGATAAGAAAGTGTAAACTATTAAAAGCAAAGTTTAAACCTTCTGAAGTCATTAGGTGGGAAGTAGACCCCTGCAAGATACGCATGTATTGGCAACTAGAGGGTCAAGAGTAGTATTATTAATTTGACTGAACTACAAATCCCTGTCCTTTAGAGCACAGGAAATAGGAATTTAAGAAGTTTTTCAGGGAATGTTTCTTGCTTTTTTGTCTGATAAGTTAATTACCAACAGAAGAAAGATTCTGAATTGACCTGTCTTCTAGTTTGTTTTGCAAAAGTGCCCCAGCAAGAGCTCATTCATATGACCAAGCAAGCTAGCAGTGTGGAGTTCTGTGATGTAGGTGGTGTTTTTTCAGATGTACGTAACAAGACAACACTGGTAAGGCCGATGAGAGATCTTTCTGAGTCCTTTTTGTGTGTTGGAGCAGCTAAGTCTGCTACCTAAGAATGTGTTAGTGACTTTTATTACATCTTCTGCAAGTGAAGCACAGAGCTTGGCATTGGAGATCCAGCATTTAAGTAAATAGATATAAATGTAAGGTACCGGAACTATTTTGTGTTACTTGAGAACATCAAATACTGGTAAATGTAACTGTGGCCTGTGTTGTAAATTGTGTATAAATAATATGTTATTTCTGGCAGGCATAAGTAGCAAGCTGCTTCATTTCAGTATATTCTCTGTGACTGAAGTAAAAATGATACCTGGATGAGAAAATCAGAAGGGCAGCAAATGTAAGACTTTTTTGTTACCTTTGGACTCTCCAGAATTGAGAAATGCCTTCCAGATAACTACTGATACATTCTGGAATGGGAGGGGATTCTAAATCACTATTACATTTTAATAATTCCATCCACTGCTGCTCTTTGAACACCTTGTCTGTTTCTTGGCTGCTTTAAAATCAAACTACCGTCCTCTCCTACCCTCAACTCTTCATCTGGAAAGCAGGCAAATAGGATGGGAACTGCTGTGTGCAGTTTTGGCCTTTCCAAGTAAGCTAAGGGTCCGTGTAGGAAAATGTTCTTTCTGGGGAAAAGGTTCTCACATGGAATTCTTCCTTAGCTTTTATTTACATTATTTATTTTATATTCTGTTACAGTTTCTTAGACTTACAGCCATGAGTTGACAGAGACATCTTGATTTAAGCCTTGGTTCAGAAATATAAACTCATCTTTTCCTGCTACAGCTGGCAACAAGGCTTCCTACTCTGTGATGCAGATCCTACAGTAAGCATGAAAATATGCATCATGCAAGGTTTAGGAAAAAAAAAATGTTACACATGCCAAGAATACTTAAAGCATTTTGACTCGGAGTCAAATCTTGTTTCGCTTGTACTTTTGAATGTTCTTGGAATGAGGATCTTAATTCATATCTCAGATTCCTGTTCATGCAAGCATTCACTCTGATTATACTGATCTGGTGAATGAAGGTGAAGAATAACCCAGAGATTATATCAATTATGATGGATTTCTTTCTCTGAAAAAGTTTTTTAAACCTCTGCAATATCTATTTCTGTGCTGTACTGAGAGCAGCAGTTAGCTCACAGTATTAACCACTGGCATCTGATCACTCCTTCAGAATATAGCCACGTCAGGAACCTTAACTCGTGTGCAATGTTAACTTGATCTTTCTTAGTCCTCCACGGGAAGAAGAGTGTGGACACATACACACACACGACTTTGTGGTTCTTTTGGATTTTTCCAAGTAGTTCCAAGTAACTATGTATTTCAGGAACTTAAATGCACCGAACTGCTCCACAGAATCACAGAATCACAGAATGGCCAGGGTTGGAAGGGACCTCAAGGACCATGAATCTCCAACCCCCCTGCCACGCATTTAATACTAGACCAGGCTGCCCAGGGCCCCATCCAATCTGGCCTTGAACACCTCCAGGGATGGGGCATCCACAACCTCTCTGGGCAGCCTGTTCCAGCACCTCACCACGCATAGTAAAGAACTTCCCCCCCATCCAACCTAAATCTTCCCTTCCTCAGCTTAAAACCATTTCCCCTTGTTCTGCAGTTACCAACCCTTTCAAAGAGTTGATTTCCCCTCCTCTCTGTAGGCTCCCTTTAGGTACTGAAAGGCTGCAATGAGGTCACCTTGCAGCCTTCTTTTCTCCAGGCTGAACAAGCCCAGCTCCCTCAGCCTGTCCTCACAGGGGAGCTGCTCCAGTCCCCTGATCATCTTTGAGGCTCTCCTCTGGACCCTCTCCAACAGCTCCCTGTCTTTCTTGTACTGGAGGCTCCAGACCTGAACGCAGTACTGCAGATGGGGCCACACAAGAGCGGAGCAGAGAGGGACAATCACCTCCCTGTTCCTGCTGGCCACCGCTCTTCTGGTGGAAGATTGCTCCAAGTGAGTTAGGTTTGCCTTCAGTCGACGTTCCCCAGAACTAGCTGCTTTCTGCGTGCTTTAGACTACTTGGACACAGGGGCATTGCTGTTTGAGGAAGGCTGGGCAGCAGCCTGTGTTACCTGCCTGGGTCAGCACTGTGCGGGGCGCTACACTGAGCTGCAGGCATGGCCTGACCCTCGTTAGAGGTCATCGGGAGCTTCAGTGCTTAAATCAGTCCTCACCTTGTAATAGTTTTTACTAGAAGTTCTCTGAGTACCAACAGCCATGGAAGTGCAGTTGGATAACATGAGCTGCATTCTATCCTGCCCTGTTCAGGTGTGAGTGATGGAAGCCAGACCAGCGTCAGCTTAGCGTCTCGGTGAGTAACAGGCCGGGATCGGACCCACAACGCCGAGTTCTGCCGAGCCCACAGTTTCAACACACGTACGCCCCGTAGCCGGGCGGTCCCGGGGCTCGGCCCACAACTCCCAGCCTGCGGCGCACCGCTCCGGCCCGGTGCCATCAGTTGCGGCTGCCGGCGGCTGCCAGCGCCTGCCGTGGGCGGTGCGGGGCCCCGGAAGCGCTCGGCCTTCCCTAGCAACGCCCGGCGCCATGCCGCTGTGGCTGCGGGAGCACAGCTGGCGGCAGAGCGGCTCCGCCGTGTACCTCTCGCTGCCCGTGCGCGGCCTGCGGGTCACCGCCGCCAACATCTTCTGCACCGAGCGGTACCTGAAGGTGGGCGGCGGGGCTGCGGTCCGGCGTCGCTCCGTTAAAAGCACGCGCTCAGCGCACCGTGGCAGCGCTGCCGATTTCGCAGCCTTTTACAAACGTTAGGCTCTGCTGTCCCTTTGCGTGAAGCAGGCTGTTCGTGCCGATCTCTCTAGGCTGCCCTGTTCCAACTAGTAATGCCAGCACCTGTCCGGTTCGGTGGGTGCTGGCTGCCTTTTCTGTAAGCTTCTGCATGAACCGTGACTTATAAGGATAAGCTCGAGGTCTGCCGTTTCTAGTTGGGTGCAGAAGATCACACGGTTTGGGTCTCTTGATCTGGTCCAGTGGTTCTAAAAACTGCACGGTGTGCTGAGTGATCGGCTTGCTGAGCAGCACTTGTTGCTGAGGTGTGCTGTGTGCTTGTGTTGTTTGGAATGTCTGAGAATGAAATAAGAATTCAGTTATTAGTACGTGTTTGTTAATTGTATTTTTATAGGTAAGCGTCCCTCCCTTTTTATTTGAAGCTGTTTTATATGCTCCTATTGATGACACAAACAGCACAGCAAAGATCGGCAATGGAATCGTTTTCTTCACTTTGTATAAAAAAGAAGTGGCCATGTGGGAGTCCCTGACTGTAGCAAATGGTAAGTTCTCTGTAGGGAAAAACAGATTGCCTGTAAAAGACCCAAGCTGTGTGAAAACTCTCTTTAATGGCTTTGCTGCTTTTCTAACTGTATTATTTGATATAGGTAAATATTACCTTTACCTTCATGGCTTCAGAAAGTGCAAGAATTCTCATCTGTCACTGAACAATGTGGGTGTCAGCTGGGAACATTTTATTTCTTTTTTTTCTGAGTCACCTTCCATTCATTCGTAGGAAATTGTAGATGATATTCGTGGTGTTGCTGGTTCCATACTGATCAACTGCTGGGGCCAAAATGCTGGTTCTGAAAAGAGAGAGAAATTATTAGAAAAGCCAGTTTGGGGGGAGGAAAGATTTCTCTGATGTAATTTTACAAATCATAACTTAAAAAGTGTAACTTCTGCAGCTACACATCTCCTAAATTGAACCTTGTTTATTGTTAAAATACAAAGTACAGCAGAACAGATAAGGAATGTAGTGGTTCTGCTGAGCACAAAACAGTGTTTCTTATGAAACTAGCACTGTGTGTTTGTGAATCTTACTTTTTCACGTTTAGAGATGGGCTTGATGAAAACTGCTTTGTGGAGCTGGAAACATTGCATTTTCTTAGACAAAATGTAAAAGAGGAATCTTGTTTTTATGAAAGTGGTACATCACAATAGAATTTCAGACCTAAATTAGTGAACAGTTTTCGTTTATTTAAGTTAACAAGGAGGAACTGCAACATCTAAGAGAGAATGCTGTTCTAAGAGCACACGAAAAGGCGAAAGAGGAGACAGAAGCAAAAAAAGTTACAAAACAGGAGCACAAGAAGTATGCTTTGGAGGCTACAATGAAGGTAAATGTAGAAGGAACTCTACAAAACATGTGGATGTAATTGCCAATTAATCTGGGAGCTGCTTGGTTAAATGTGTAAGAAGGACTCATTTTTATTACAGTGGTGGAGAATCTTGTATCTTAAAACATAGGTCTTACCAGTTATGAAATTGCTATAAAAATACTTAGAAGCTGTTTTCATTAATTACTCTGAAGAAAGTTTTTTTGTGTGTGTGTGAGAGTTCAGATTTTTATCACTTAAAAGAAGACTATAATTATGGGGCAAAATGTTAATCTATTAACATTGGCCTCTGCAAACAGTGTGAGTATTTGCTCATTTGTTGTTGACAAATATTCATTTTTTAAAAATCTCATTCAGTGAGGTGTCGTCTTCCAGAAGCACTGGTAATTAGGGCCTCATCGGAAGGCACTTCCCAGCTCCCTAGTAATCATCATCATGACTGAATCAAAGGCAGGAAGAGCTTTAAAATCAAGTATAATAAAGCAGTCCAAGTAGATTTAAAAAAAAAAAAAAAGTATTTTTTTCAGTGTAAGGGTGATATGTGAACAGCATATGTTGTGTGTTGAACTGAAATGAACTTTGAAGACAAAAGGAAAGCCTATTAAAGATTTGTTTGGGGAGTACCTTTTTCATTCTTTAATATGCAGGGAAAATTGGATCATACCTCCATAGTGGTGTAAAATAGTTGAAATATATGGCTTTTAAAAACTAATCAGTTTACTGCTCATCACAATTACAGTCATTTTAAAGCATTTTTTATAACTTTACCTGTGGGCTTTTGTTAATGATGATTATTTACTTGGGACATGATACTGGCAAAACCAATTATACCTTTTATTCAGACATCTTATTATTGAATGTTATGTGTCTCACAGTTTTATCATTTACACAGCTAGAAGAAGCAGAAAGAAAAAGAATTGAAGGTCTGAAAGAACAGGAGAGACAGAAAGTTGCTAAGGAGTTGGAGCTATGGAGACATCAGCAAAACAATGTTGAGAAACAAAAGAGGGTACAAAATGAAGGGGAACTACATGAAGAAGGAGAGCAACTAAAGGAGAAGAAAAAGGAAAAAATAAACAAAACCAGAATTCCTAATGAAGAAATTTCTAAGACCAAACTCAAAGATACAAAAGGTTGTGTTATTGAGATATATTTTAACATGCTGCAGAGCGTGGGTATAACTTTATTCCTAGATGTTTCTGGTTCATTTTTTATCTTTGTCTCTACTGTACTGAACTCTCTTTTTTTTTTTTTTTTTTTTTGGTTTGCAGTTACATTTGTGTCTTTATTTTCTTGCAATTCATTGAGCTAAAATGTGTGAGTTCTTAGCTCTCATTTAAGTCTTTGGAAACACAAGCCAAGTTTTGTTGTAGGCTTTAGCAAAATAGAACAGAAAGTCTGTCTAGCAGTGCAAAGCAAACTCTCTGAGGGTGGAGTTCATGTTACCACTGAAGTGTCTACACTGCCATTTTTTGCAGAGATAAGCAGTCTCATTTCACTCTCCCATGCCTTGGCCCTGCAGAGAGCTAATGAGGAACTAAGCCAAGAAAAGTTTGTTCCTTTTGGTTTTGTTTAAATTGTTCAGTAAGATTAGTTTTAGGTCTTACACTTGCCCTGCTAGAGAGTCATGTAAGTGAAAGAGTGCTTTAAAAAGAACCCATTTCTGACAGTGTAGTGTCAGTAATACATTGCATGCTTAGCAGCAAGAACAAATGCTGTTTGAAACTCTACTTCAATAGAATAAGTCCCAACTTTCCTGAAGGTTTATTTCTAATAACCAGAATTTCTAGATTAGGTTTATTTTGGAATTTGGTAGAAAAACAGAAAAATAATCCCTTTTCCTTCTCTTTTCAGTTCTAGTACTCTAATTCTTTTTGTAGGTCGTGGTTCCTATAGTATCTTTTCAGAGAATTTAAGAGAAGAGCAGTTGCCAGCTCCTCGATCTGCCGGTACCATTAAAATCAACTTCACATCACGAGTTTTTCCTACAGCTCTTCGAGAGTCTCGTGTAGCAGAAGAGGAAGAGGTAGGGATTGTTGTGTTTGTCTGGTGCTTCTCTTGTCTTCCAGGATGGCAAACCATTTACCCTTTGTTCAGGAAGTTGGCAAAAATGTTACCTGTGGTCTGTTCTTACCTTCCAAGGAATACAGTCTTATCTAAAGATTTAAATACTTTTCACCATGCATTGTGTAGATAAATGACTTTTTTTTTTAATTAAAAATTTGCAACACTGAATTCCATGAAGTACAAGGTTGGAAATTTCTTTGCTCTTACACTTAAGACTCATTAAGTTCTGTCTTAAAAAGGAACTCTCTGAAGCTTAGCTCTCACAATAAGTCTCTCTTGAGCTTTACTGAACAGGTATTAATAATGCAGTGACCTTACTTCTCACACAGCAATAAAATATTTGGGGAAAATAGGAAATTGTTCCTGTCTTACATTAATGAATATTTATCTCTGCCCAAAATATGAGGCAAATAGAATTCTTTTGGTAGACTGAATGAGCAGATAAGAACAGTATTTAATTTTTCCTTCAGAAATAATACTTGCAAATTGTATATTTAAAGTGGCTACAAAAACAGGCAGAAGCTCGAAGGATAATAAATGCTGATTTGTCTGAGCTGGAAGATTTAAAAGAAGAGGAGAAAAATCCAGACTGGTTAAAGGACAAGGGAAAGTAAGTCAGATTCCATATGAAGATTTATTTAAAATGAAATATTAGTTACACTGTGTTTGTAATATTTTTGGTTTATTCTAAACACAGATGAGGAATGTCTACACAGTGAAGAGTTTATTGATAGCTTAAGGGTTTTTAATCTCATAGAAAGTCATGAGATGAAATTGCTGAAGGAAATTCATCATTTAAAAATAAAATCATAAACAAATACAGCACATTTTCACACTGAGGACCGTTCAATTAGTGAAATATTATGCCTAGGTAATTTCCTGTCAGTTGCACTTATTCAGATGTCAAATACCTGTCTGAAGCAAGCACTAGGAATTTATAAAACTATTGGTGCATTTATGTAGCTGTGTTATACAGGATGTTTTGATTAGATAATCATAATCTGATGTATCTCTTAAAATTAGTCATGTGGCTGCATAAATGTGTCCACTTTTTGCTGACCTGTACATGTGACTTTGCAAAACATGATCAGTGTGCTATGTTCTGTGCATTGTTTGACGTTCTGAACATTAAGTTCTCAGAAAAAGTTGTAAACGACAAATGGAACCTGCTAAATCCATAATTTTTGCTTAATTCTTATTAAGAAGTAGATATTTGTTTCATGATGCATTATCTTGTTGAAATCACGTTTCACTTCTTGCTTTATACTTAGCAAAATGTTTGCAACAGGAAACTATCTTGCAGCTGTAAATGCATATAACCTTGCAGTCCGACTAAACAATAAGCTTCCACTGCTGTATTTGAATCGTGCTGCTTGCCATCTTAAGCTGAGAAATTTACACAAAGCCATTGAAGATTCCTCTAAGGTATAAACGTATAGATTCTCAGACTGTTGTCTTATACACACTTGTGATTTGTTATTGCAATACTTCTGTTTCAAGAAGATCTGTAAAAAAAAGTTATAGTGCAGTTCACAACTTTTAAATTTGGAATTGATATAATGAAACCAGTTGACTTGGTACATGCTTCTTTACTGGTAAAATATCATAGGAACATTTTCACTCCAAGGATTAAAACAAAACAAACCACCAACTTGGAGCAGAAAAAGTACTGAATGTGCACAAATACCTGTTGTATTATATTGTAATGTTCTTCACATGATGGGAAGAAAAAAGAGGTGGCAGAAGTAGTAAGGAAGACACCTTAAAAATACCAGACATTTTTTAGTAAGGGCTGCATCATCTCTTTGTATTAACCATGGCAGTGATAATATGTTTATCAAACTGTGGGATGAGCGATAGAAATACTAGTGAGTTATGTAGGCTGTATAGTTACATTTCAATTGTAATTTATTAAGTGAAAGGAAGATGTGTAAGTTAATCAAACAAAACCCACCCCAAACAAACAAAAAAATCAACGGAATTGTGGAAAATCTACTTGTAACTATTTCTGGTGTTTTCATTTGTGAAGGCACTAGAATTGCTAACACCACCTGTTCCTGATAATGAAAATGCTCGAGTAAAAGCATATGTGAGACGTGGCACAGCCTTTTGTCAGCTGGAGCTGTATGCTGAAGGTAAGACCTTGATCTTTGTGAACACATGCACATGGACCCATTCTGACAACTGAGTCATTGGTTTAGCTCAGTGAGACTGCTCACATCTGTGTTTTTTTTTTTTTCTTTTCAGGAAGGACAATTTACTGGCTAATTGCAATTCCACTTGATTTTTTTAAATCTTAAGTTGTCAGAGAATTGATTATACTTCTAATTCAGGGGGTACACATTAGTTTCATTGAGGAAAAGGCTTCAGTGAGTTGTGTATCATCCTCCCTTTGGTCCGTTGGGTAGTCAGTCTTTCTGTGCATTGCAGCCAAATCTTGACTGTAGCAAGCTGCTGGCCATGGAGGGTATTATGTGGAGTGAAATGAGAGGTCAGAGGTGAGACTTTCAAATTAGGAACCATTCAAAAGTGGCAGGCAAACTGATGTGAAACTAGGCTGCAGTACTTCAGCTGTTCATGAGACAACACTATACTGATTTTTAGATTATAGCATTAGCAACTATAGAACACCTTAATTAAAATAACCTGAAATATTTCTAAATTACTTGTTTGTGACCTTTGTAGTAACATGTCTTTTTAAACCTGTATATGAAATCCATATTGACCAAAAAGATGTTTATCAAGTATGTGTCATCTTTATACAGATATGAGTTATGTGTCCCTTGGCTTTGTAAGGCAAAGTTAAAACGGAAAGATGATCATAGCAAGTGAAGAATGTTCAAAATGTTTATGCAGAGCTTTTCCCAGCTGTTATCTTATCTATGAATCCCATTGTCACTTCCTTGCAATTTCACTTGTACAGGAAAGCCTAATAAGGACTACTTCCTTCCGTCCTTGTGTGCCTTTGTTATAATTTTGTCTGATGTAGAAACCATTTGATTAGGCTGTTGTGCTCATTTGTTTATTTGCTGAATAGCAAACTTAGAACAACTGTAAGATAGTCTGCAGGTGGAAGCCCTATCCTGTGAAAAGTCTTTAGGCTGAAGAAAGCCTAAGTTAGACCAAAGTTAGTTGACCTCTGTGTGTGAGCAGGGACACATACATATGATGAAGCGGGTCTCTTTTGGTGTTTCAGGACCTGAAATGTTTGTGTAGCAGTGATGTTTCCATTAAAATATTTTTTAAAAATAATAGGAACCAGGTATACATTTAGTATACTGACAGCAGTTAATCCTGTTGTTGTTCTGATCCGTTTTGCTCAATAGCAAATTTCAAGAGCAGTACTTTATGCAGTCAGCCAGGGAGCGTTTATTTCCAGTTAGTTGCTAAAGAGGAAAAGACATTTGCATTAATGATTGACGCTCTTATTAATGTATTGATAGGTCTCCAGGATTATGAAGCAGCTCTCAAGATTGATCCTAAAAATAAAACCATAGAAAAAGATGCAGAGAAGATTCGACACACAATTCAGGGAACAGTGCAAAATTCTTAAAAATAAAAAAGGAGCTTTTTGTGCCTTTTGGGGGCCTCAGAAGGAGCCTTAGTTCATGTTCTCTTCAGTATGTTGCTAACTAGATTTTTTTTTGTTTCACTTGGAATACCTATTGAATTTATAAAATACTGGATATGAGTAGTTATTTTTTGGCAAGCATGGTTCTATAACAAATACGATTAGATATACTGCATATCATTTTGATACAAGGTTGTCAAGTTTTTTTTCTGTGCTGTGTGTTGGGCTAAAGAATAAAACATACCTTTTGTACTTGATTTGAAGTTACCTACAGCCAAATAAATTATTTGTCTGGAAGTATCTACTGAATGTAGACAGTGAGTTTTCAAACATCTTCAGTAGTTCCCTGTAGTCAGCACAAAACTTCTCTTCCTGTTCTTCACCAAAGACAAAACAGTTATCTGTGCTTGGATACTAGTGAAAGTATCTGCTGTGAAGTCTATGTGAAATATAAGTTTAGTAATTTCATACATTTTATATGGATTTGCACTAGGAAATATTAATTTATTTTTAATAAATCTAACATGGATGGTAGTCTGAATTTTTGTGCCTGTTGAGCACTCGCAATTCCTGCTGCAGTCTGAAGGCTCTTCTCTTTTTTTATGTGCTTTCCTCTTTTCTTTGTGCTTCTAGAGCTTGGTATATCTGAAACTAAGACAGTGAATTCATACACTGTAATTCAGGCACCCAGTTTAGATAACCTCCACCTGAAATCATGAGGTAAATTTTATGTAGCATAGAATATTCTTTTTTAGCAGCCATGATTTGTAAATATTTGCAGACTATTTTGTATCATTTGGGCTGACCGAACAAGGGAATTGAGAAAGAATGTACAAATGTATATGTAGATAAGATATTCTGTGCAATTTTCATGCTGTTGAAACAAGGACGGGGTGGCAGGTGTTGCTTCCAGATGTTTGACCTAGAGCCTTGGGAGTTGTGCTGAGCTGAGTCAGAAATGCCGGGGGTAGCTGCCATCTTATCTGCAGATACTTACTGAATTGCAGGGCAGGGAGGTGTGAATGCTTTGTTCATGGCAGTTGAAAGGAGGGCAGTGCCTCAGTTAAGTGTAATACTACACTTGCCAAAATATGGTAACTTTCTTTCAGGTAGGTACTGAGGAGAAGCGAGGGTTAAGATAAGGAGTCACTGTTGAGAGGAGGAAGATGAAAGAAGCAGGTTCTGTTTTTGAGTCTCTAATTCTCTGGTTTGGTTTGGAGTCTGTTAGAATAACCTGTGTACATTACACAATATATACATCAATGTACAATATTGATAAGTTATATTATTGATAAGTTATACAATACTTTGTATTGTACTGATCTGCGATAGCTACTTAAGGCTGTTTCTGATGTAGGCAGGTGCCTTTTTCTACTGCTGTGAAATAGACACAGTTCCCTTACGAGAGCCTGCAGAATCGAATGTACTTGGTGGTACAGATAACACCAGCCTGTCTGGTTTGGCTACATGGGGAACAAATGGAGTAAAACTGATCTAAACACCTGAGCTTGTGCTGTGTATACCACATCAAAGTCAGTTTTGGTAGGCTGATACTTAGTGTCCTGGGATGTAGCAGTGCAGAGTTTTAAAATCAGAAAATGATTTAAACATAACCATTCCAGGAAACGACTCCTGCATTTGACTCTTGCTACAGATTTGAGTTACACATATGATAGGTTTCAAAAGTTTTATTTTTGCAGTTCGGTTTTGACTCGGAGAAGCACGTCATTAATGTGCTACATCTTTTTGGGTATGTTTTACTCACAGCAGCAAACAAAGCAACTGAAATATTTGGCTGTTATTCCCAGAACAACTGAAACAACAAAGTCAGAGTTCTTAAAGCAAAGTGTCTGGTCTGTGAGAGAACGGACTCGTTTGTTACAAAGTATGCTGCAAGTTGGGGTAGTCATAAACCCTACTTCTGTCAAAGGCAGTATTTAAATAACTGTCTTGAGATGATCCACAAGTGAGTAAGTGTTCTGGAAATGTTTGATCCAGGGGAAGATACGTATGGGGCAGCATCTGTGCAGTAGGTACTGCAGTGTTGTATTCGTATGAGGCTGTTTCAAACAGCAAAACCTGAGGCTTTGCCAAAGAACTGCTGGGCAGGAGTGTGCCGGGCTCCAGCATGCAGGGGGACATGGGATTCCAGGGGTTTGTGGGGGGAGGAGGATGAGGAGATGTTTTTTTTTCTTGGTGATTGAACTCTGAGGCATTTTCTCAGCAGAAGTCATCTTGCCCTGCTAAAGAAGCAAATTACGCTCAGCCTTTCACATACTGGGGCAGAACATCTCACATTTGTTCATGTTTGTGGTCAGAGTGTTGTGCAAGGCATGTAGTGAAATACCCGGGTGCAGCAGGGAGCTGCACACTGCTTGCTTCTGATCTTCTGTAGTCAGCTGGGGGCAGGGAGAAATGAACTCGTGTTGAGATGTAGTAGCAAAGCTTGACGTGGCATTAATTTCTGCATCAGCGATAAGCTTTTGAGCATACGTGCCTTAATGTGTGACAGGAGCAGTAAGGGCGATAAGAAAATACGTGTAAGAATAAGGCGATATGGTTGTTACGTTTCGCTTTTGGCTCTTCCAATCTGTCAGAGGCTTGCCCTAAGCAGGGCTCCCGCTCACCCCCTTTCTCATGCGAGCGGCGCGGTGCAGTCGCCCAGGAGCGCTGACCCTTCACCCGGGGCTCCGGGGATGAACCTCCAAAGGCCGGGCCGCTCCGCGGCCCCGCGCCGAGCTCGGC